ATACATTGTGAGCAGTCAGTAATTCAGTAGTTTGATATTGTGCTGAACAATTTGGTCTTTCTCTGACAGCAATAAAGCAGAGTTAAAATCTAAAAGACAGGTTTGTTTTACAGAAATACAGCCTGAGGCCGAACAGCCCCATAAGATCAGAATACAGCATAGTTTAAAATCAAGCAAAATGATCGACTGAAATGGGACAGTGTGGTATATTCATTATTTTAATGTTAATATTGGAAGGCATGGACTGATGGAAATATGCATATCTAAACTATTGATTTGTGTACCTGACTAAACTGTGGAATAAAGCAGCTTAGTAATTCAAGCCAAGATCTCATACCAAGTAAAAGTAGTCAGCATGAGCAAATAAAAACACTGAGAATTTGGTCCAAACAACATCCATATGCTATGCCATCATACAAGTAGATACAAGGTAGAGTCAGTCAACTCTCAGAAAAGCACAGATTCTGATCGCTTAATGGAATGACTGACATCACTGACTCCAAGGAGGTATTCACAGCTGACCTGAATTTCTAACAACACCTTACATTTATGTCGGGCCTTTAGCACAGCAATATATCCCATGGCATCTTTCAAGATTATTCTTAAATACAATTTCACAGTGAGCCACACTGGAAATAGTGGGACCAATACTCAAAAGCTTGGTCGGAGATTTGTTTCAAACTGCATTCGAACAGAGAAGAGGTGGAAGTATTTAGGGAGGAAATTCCAGAACTTTGGGCCAAGATAGTCGATTGTAGGGAAATTCAAGTCAGAGGTGTGCAAGAAATCAGAATTAGAGGAGAGCTGAAATCTCAGCGTTGTACAATTGGGGTCAGTACGGAGGTGAGGAGCAACAATGACCAGGAGGACATTGAAAAAGGATGAAAATTTTAAAATTGAGGTGCTGTCAGACTTGGAAATGCTGTTGGTTAGTGAGCACCAAGGTGCTGGGCAAGTGCAACTTAGTACGAGAGTAGACACAGACAGCAATTTTTGATGATTTTAAGCTTTGAAAGGGTGCAAGGCCAAAGTTTGGTCAACATAGCGTGTTGGGATAACCCAATCTGGAGATAACAAAGGTGTGTACAAGCATTTCTGAGTTGGGGGCTGGATAGGGCAATGCATCAAAGATGGAAAGTGGTGGTCTTTTCGACATTGTTGTCAAGATTGGGAGGTACAGGTTTGTGTCTAGCACTCTGTTGAGTGAATTAATCAGTGGGACAGTAGGAGGGTCAGAATAATTAAATACACAAGGGGTTACAGAGCAAGGATAGAGGCAAGAAATATAAATGAGGCAACCATTCCACTCCTGACTGTTAAAAAACGATCCACATTGCAAGAGCTCTTTATCTCTCTCTCTCACTCACTCACTCACACACACACAGAAGAGATGGTTCTGTATGCAGTATTGTGCCAATTTTCTGTAGTCAGTTGCCCATTTTTCAGGCAAGCTCAAGTTAGCAAGGAATGACAGCTTTTTAACCACACAACTTAGTAACATTTAAACATCCCAATAAGCAAGAATGCTGACTCCACCCTTCAGCCTAGTTTCAGGAGAACACAGTCAGGCTGGTGTGGCGATTGGACTACTCCTTACAAATTACGGATTGACTTTGACCTCCCTAATGAGTGGCATATTGGGTACCGAGAGTAAATAAGGAATTTTATTTATCACTTTTTCAAATCTGTGGCCCTTGTGTTGTAAATTAAGAATTGAGATCTGGTTTAATTGTATTTCTGATCAGTAAGGCAAACAATCAATCAAAGCCATCAGCACTTGCGCTGTGATCTTACACAGCGTATGCATGCGAACTTTAACCTTTTTGTGTATTTGTTTGTAAAGTGGAAAGACCAAAGTCAGAAGATGCAAGCAGTTTTGATCATTGAGTGCAGTTTAGTTCCTAAGTGGTGATAGCTAACCATTTCCCCATGACACTCAATGGCAAAACCATCACTTCATCCCCATTTCCAATATCCTGGGGTTTATTATTGACCATGAACTGAACTGGGCTCGCCAAATGAATACTCCAAAGAATGTCTGTCCATCCACCGTTAACAGTACCTCTAACCTGTAACCTCTAATGCCAAGAAGGACAAGGGCAGCAAATACTTAGGACCATAATCACTGGCAAGTTTCCCTCTAAGCCACCCACCATCCTGACATGTAACTAGATCTGAGATAACAAGGTGTAGAGCTGGATGAACACAGCAGGCCAAGCAGCATCAGAGGAGCAGAAAGGTTGACGTTTCGGGCCGAGACCCTTCTTCAGAAATTTCTGAAGAAGGGTCTAGGCCTGAAACATCAGCCTTCCTGCTCGGCCTGCTGTGTTTATCCAGCTCTACACCTCGTTATCTCAGATTCTCCAGCATCTGCAGTTCCTACTATCTATGTAACTAGATCACCGTTTGTTTGCTGTCAGTGAGTCAAAATCCTGGAATGCTCTCCCTAATAGCACTATGGCTGTACACTACATGGACTGCTGTGGTTCGAGAAAGTGGCTCAGCACCACCTTCTCACCTATTAAAGATAAGCTATAACTGCTGGTCCAGCCAGCAATGTTCAAATTCCATGAAAGAGTAAAAAATTAATGAGGTGAAATAAATATATAAACTATTTTGAGCTGGATTGTATTATTGTGTCCAAGATGTTTTCCACTAAAATTATTAGATATGGCTAAAGCTGTTGGCATAGCCACAGCCTGTGGCCAGTCAGCAATTGCTACTTGTCAACCATCATCTTAAAATCAAATCCATGTTTTGCTTACTCCTCCCATGTAGCTAAGATATTAACTTTTAGATATTGCTCATTTTGCACGTGGGAAGGAAACTGCACCAAATCTAAAAAGAATAAGCGACATGTTAATGAGAGGAGGAACAATCAAACACCGTGTATAATTTTTTGATCACAATCTCACCCATTCAAGTCAGACAACAGGGTGCCTTGTTGTGCACAGTTCAGCTTTGAAAACCTAATTTCTCCAAGCAGTTTGCTCTTATATGGTGAATTAATTAGTTAAATAATTGCCACCACACACCCATCCATCGAATTTGAAGAAATAAGATTGTTTATCTGGATTTAATCAGCTCAAAACTACACATCTAGGAGGTGCTGTGGACCTCAGATGCAGCAAAATTGCATTCAATTATATGTAAGCACAGGCCCTGGCATTACGATCAGGTCAGGGAACCAACACTAACACATTCACCACTACACAGAGTAGCAGTAGCCATCGGTGTCTTTAAGACTCTTGCAATGGTTCTTTCTTACCAATTACCAACACCTCCTTGAATGGGCAGTTCTTGCATGGGCACAATGCCTGAAAGCTCCTGGGAGACACAATTATCATTATGGGAACTATATCACCATTCTTTCAGTGTCACTGGGTCAAAATCCTGGAATGCTGTCCCTAACAGTACTACAAGATGATGTTCTCAACATATGGACTGCAACAATTCAAGGAGGCAGGTCATCACCATTTAATCAAGGGCAATTAAGGATGAGCAATAAATGCTGGGCTGGCCAAACATACTACACGCGAATGAAAAAAAGGATCAAAGCCAAAGTTGGCACAGAAAGAAAGCGTTACCAGCTAACCCGCAACACTTCAGATTTAAAATCTTTGATGTACCAGAGGTCAAGGAATGGAACAGTTTTAATGATGAGTAAAGGTTGGCCATTCACTTTCTCTTTTTACTTCCCCTTTTTTACTTGTGAAATAGCAGACAGACCTTCTGTGCTTAATTACTGCACAAGCATTTAATCACTGCCCATACAATCCACTCTGACATGACATAGTCACAGTTACTTGCCTCATGTATGCTCAGATAATTTGAAATGAACACTTGGTCCAAATAAAGTCATGAAGTTCACACAAGATTAGCAGTTTCAAGAACATTTCCCCTATGCTATCATTCATGCTTCAGGGTATGTTTAACGCCCTGTGTCGATGAGCAACTCTACGAGGACAATGTTCTCCAAAATATACCTCAGGTAAAGTTGGACAGGACACCAATTGGCTAAAGCCACTCCATGCCAATTTGTTACAAGACAACTTCAAGTTGGTCAGGGATTGCTTAGCATGACAAATCAAGAGACCTAATCATACAAGACTGTTTATTTTTTTTTAAAACACACATTGAAACCTTACACAATAGGTTTTGGTTGGTTCATTATTACATTAAAGAACATTGTCATTTCACAAACCAATAGTTGGGTTACACCATATAGTATTTACAGAAACAGGGGGTGAGTTAGCTCCATTGGCTGGATGGTAGGTTAATAATGCAGATTAGTGCCAAAAGCATGGGTTCAATTCCTGCACTGGCTGAGGTTACCACAAAGCACTTTCCTTCTCAATCTCTCCCTTGCCTGAGGCAGGGTGACCCTCAAGTTAAACCACCATCAATTTTGTCGTGCTCTAATGTGAGAGCAGCCTTATAGGCTGTTAAGACTATCGTAACTGTACCGTTACCTTCATTTTCATTTACATTAACATTAACATTAATGTTGGCATCCATTCCTCCCGATATCATGCAACCCACCTTAGTCACAGTCCTGAAAGGTGTTTACATTGCAACAGGCTTAGCCACTAGTTCAACTTTACTACAGGATGCTTCCCCCATTAAGAGATTTCCCATACTTCACACAGCAATATTTGGATGCTAAGAGGAGAATGGCATTGCACTGTAAGAGAGGTACTGGGAAACACAGGCTACAACATATATGACCCATTGCTCCACACTGATAGCAACATGCATATATTGGCAAATTTCCTACCCAGGGGAGCATGTACAAATATATCAAAATGGCTGTTGGAGAAATTGGCTAGGAGCGTAGAACAACAATTACTAGATGAGGTCATAACCCACAAGAACCAAACTCAGTCAGGCGCTACACCCTTGTAAGATACAAAACAACTCAGCTGTCATTAATTTAGTTTACTTCTTGCAAGTGCAAACACTTTGGGTGCAAACAAATACAAAATACACTCATTACTCACCTGGCAAATCTTGTAGAGCCATTTCCACATGTGAACAACCTTGGTTTCCAGCGTAGCAATTTGCCCCCCTAGATGGGAGGAGAAAAAAGTTTAGCTTTTGATAAGGATATATGCAACTTTCTCTGGTGGATAGTCAATACAAGCTGAGTACAGATACAATGGACTAGAGACATAACAAGAGAGCAAGCTTAGCAGACACCCCCAACCCTCTAGAGGTAAAAAGGGGAGGTAAGGACCTTGTTCCTCCAAACTGTGCCTTCCCAGTTCTGATGTTAGAGAAGTTTGTCTGAACTTTTAAAGAATGCTTGAAGAGTTCTGTAAATGGTCTTTTGGGAACAACTTCTGAAATTGCTATTTCATGGCTTGATCAAATAATCTTGTAGTGAGGCATTCTACAAAGACTGATGTGATTTAGTCCAGTGGGCAAACAAAAGTGTTAAAAATACAAGCAGTTCAAGAGACAATGATTTATACCTACTGAGATGGAACAAAACATCTTTAAAATAGAAGTGGCACTTTCCCCTTTAGGTATTTATACAAAAGAGATTTTTTTTTTTCCCTGCCAAAACAATAGCTTCTGGGAAATGGTGAAATGTTCCTCTCTTGCAAGGGTCTCATATCTGTTGATATTGAATGGTATTCTCTAATTTCATTAAAAGTACAGTTAAAATATGGCTTCAAAATTTTGAGTTTGACTTCACAGTCTTTTATTGCAGTACATTGGAACATAGAAAATATGGGCCTGTGCATTTTGGGGGATGAAAGAAACAGCAAAGTTGAGACAAAAGAAGCTAGGAGTACGAAGAGTCATACTTTAGTTATGTAAACAATTCATCATGGATATCCAAAATTCCTTCAGAAATTTCAGAAGAAATTTCTAAGTTCTTCAGCCTGAAATTGGTCACAAACTATCTTTCTGAAATTGTATTTTCCTATGAGGTTGAGGCCACTGTTTAAGGGGCCCTAATGGTCTTTTTATAATTTTCCACTAAACTACCATTTCTATCCCTAGTCCCTTATACAATGGTCCAGATATTCTGGTGGCCAGACTGGAGCTATGGGACCATACAGAATCCCTGATACAGCTGGTTTTGTGGGAATTGCCCAGGAAATTCCGATGGGAAACTTCCAAGTATCTGGAAACCTGTCAGAAACTTTGGAAGTTTCAGTAACCAGTTAGGCTTACAGGTGGTTCCCTGATTTACGGATGCTCACACTTATGGCATACAGGGGTGTATTAATATTAATTTCAGATATCAGACACACGATCGTTGACTTGCACTAACAAACAGCTACTTTATATTGTTTTGTATTGTGTTCTGACTTGCATACAAAATCACTTATGAACGTACTCAAGAACGAAACGTACTCGTAACTCGGAAAGTGTCTGTAATAATAACCAATATAGAGGATTAAAAAAACCTACTGTAACTGTTGGGTAACTAGTAATTTGGACACCCTCCTAACTGCTGGACCAGATACCTGTCTGACCAGAAGCCACCATCTGATTTACCAATCAAATCCTGTTCGCTTGAAATGACAACCACCTGAGGAAGGGTCACCAGACCCGAAACGTTAACTCTGATTTTTCCTTCACAGATGCTGCCAGACCTGCTGAACTTTTCCATAACTTGGTTTTGTTCCTGATTAACAGCATCCACAGTTCTTTCGGTTTTTAACCGCCTGGCCCAACTGCATTCCCTCAAGTAGCACTGGACCAGTACAGCCATGTGATACTCATGTTAGTGGATTAACAATCTAGAAATCATGAGACAAATCTCATCCTAATTATTCCAAATCAAACTGTCACACTGCCCTGGAAACTAACAAATCGATTCATACTCCAAACAGGCCTGGCCATAATTCAGTCACCTAATTGGAAAAATACAACTATTAAGAAAGCTCACTACACACCTTTCCAACTTTTAAAAAATGCTTATGCTCCTCAGTTTAGGTAGGATGTAATCACTGAGCCAATGCAGAAGCATGTGCACATCATGAAGCGTAGCTCTGATGCACACCCTGAATGAGTAGGCCTGCTGCACTCCAGTCTTTCTCCATACACAAATAGGAGAGGCACTCCCTCCTGTATGAATCATTGCGCTCCGTGGGCATGAGGAGGAATTGGAGAAAAAAAAAATACAGTGAAACAGGCTATTAAACTTATTTAAGATTGTTTGGATACAAAATCTTCCAATAGTAAAAAAGTGAAGATGTGGATTAAGATTACTACAAAGCCACGTATTACCTTTTCCACAATGTCAGTTTTAAAACTAGTTCTAAATTTAAACCAAGCAATACTATTGTGAATAGAAAACAGATTAGCAATGTAAAGTGAGTTGTTAGCACTGGAAGAAATGTTAACCTGAACCCTTGTCCTGCAGATCAAAATTCACGACTTTCAAAAAAAAGTGCTTATTCGAATGCCTTCCTAAAGTAATAGCCTTAAGCACAAATATATTTATAGAAATCTTATACGAAACCTTATACGAAACATGAAAAAGGGGAAACAGATGGTGAGCTTGGATATGTCAGGAAAGTGCAAAATGTATTTTTGAGGAGGTTTTTAAAGACAGTGAGCAAAGTTAGAAGGGATTATGGAGTTTGAAAGTCAGGGTGAGACAACTGACATATCTCGACATCAAAGGGTGGAGATACGAAGATGGAACATAGAGGAAATCAGAATCAGAGAATTAAAAATGAGGCGACAGTCCTCAGGATGATGGGTCTACAGAGTTCAGATGGAGGAGACTGTAAAGTAAGGAGGACAAGCATAGAGGTTAAGTGAGAAGGTGGGGAAAGGTGGATGTAGGGCAATAGAATTTCATTTATTGCGAAGAAGAGAAAAAATTGCAAATGTAGAAATTAAATAAGCAAATTAATAAGCGGTTGTTCTGTCAGATCTGAAAAACGAGAGCTGAGTTACTTTGCCAGGTCATTTCTGTGTGCCGCAAACAATTGCCTGGCATTACACTTAAATGGAACAGGTGAAAAGGATGCAGTTTGTTCTGAGGAACGGTCTTGGAAACACCAATCTGTCCATTCTGCTTCAAATGCTAATGTTGTGAATTTTAAGCAGTGAGAAATTTCAAATGCCTATTATGTGATGCTGAATGCAGTCTCGTCCACACAACTACTAGAAGGTTCAGAGATTAGCAAGGGAAAAGATACACATAACAGCAATTTGTAAGATATATGAGTGTGGCTCAGTCACATTTCACTTTCAAAACTGTGAAAGAAAGCCATGGACTAGGTTCAATGCCTGGACTGCACTGAGTGAGCTAAATCCAAACAAGACAATGATTAAATGGCACAACTGTGATTGGGGAGAAGAAAAACAAGCTTCCGACTGTTTGCCACAAAGCAACAGATGGAAGGGAGATGGGTCTAAGAAAAGATCGAAGTGCTAAAGATTTTGAAAGAAATTCCCCACTGATGCAGGACACAAGGTGACAATAACCTCAAATTTAGGACCAGGTCTTTCTAAGACTTAAGTAAATAAATGCTTCCTTCAGGCAAAAGGTGATAGGAATGTGGAATTTAGTAACAGATTTGCCACTGAAAAACAAAACTGAAACCAATAATTTCCCTTTACAATGCATTTTAATGCTCTGTCCATGTAGCCCAAAAGGAACTGGGGTATATTCTAGTACACCTTTTTCTTCCCCTGCAAACAGAGCTCTAATCAGTATTAAATATATCTCACTTATCAATTTGTAAACAAAACACACCAGAATGAAATACAAGTCACAGACAAACAAATGCAGAATATAGCTACAATTTTCAGACCACGTCCAAAGAGTAGCCTTTAAATTACAAGCTTCATTAATCTAGTCTATTCTCACGATGGTTGAGGTTAATGACCAAACGTTTGACAAAGTAAACAAAATGGCTGCACTTAACCTTTTGAGGACCACAGCAGTTTTTCCCTAGTATTCTAGCAACAATTACAAAATTAAGCGGTTTTGTGCCATTGTCAATTTTATGAGCAGTGAAATTAAATCCTCTTTTCTGGCTTTCATTATACTTCAATACTATAATTTTCAGAAGTTAAAGCACATTCCAAAAGTAAATGGTAAATTTTGCTTCTATTCCCCTTTCAGGGGAAAAACTAATTTCAGCAGCTAAAAAATAAAGCCTCAGTCACCAAATGCAGCTGTGGTTCTTTTCCAACAATGCACTCACTCAGTGTCTCTCACTTCCAGGCGCGCGTGCGCGCGCACACACACACACACACACACACACATATACAATGCAATTGTAGGCAAGTGCCTGTATCTACTTGGTTTGAAGCTGGATGCTGATATAGTTCTGCAGTCGGTTACATAGATCCCAGGGTTGTCCGATACTTGAACATATGTCACACTTGTAATGGATGCTGTCATCTCTCAGCCAGCCTGGACAGGAAGTTCTCCTAACTGCAACGGCTCAAACTTTTCTCTGCCAAGGAGTGCTGGAGTCGGAAACATAAGAAAGAGGACTCCTGGAGACCCAGAGTGTTTCACCTCCAGCAATACAACCATCGCTAAGCTTAAGTATAGGCGTATAATTGCGGAATCAGCAGGATGACGAACTGAGAAGAGAGATAAAGAATCAGTATCTCCACTGTACCTGACCTAGGAGTTATGACCAGCCAAATGGACTTGAGACAGGATTCATACTCCTATCATTCTTGGCCAAAAAACACTTAATCCCATTATTATTTAAAAAGTTAAACCTTAATTGATGGTGTAAAAGTGTACTAAGAAAGACCCATTAACACTGCAGGAGAAGAGGAATAAGGTCAATTTCCCCAATGAAATGAAGTACATATTAAAAAAGACTTTTAAAATTAATTTAATGCTGCAGACATCATGGGATAGAATTCTGGTTTGGGTGGTGGCATGAAGTGACTAATATCAAATTTTACACTGCATCCAATTAATCTGAATACCAGACAATAATGAGCACCTTATTGAGGTGTATAAAATCATGAGGGGCATAGATAGGATGAATGCATATAGTCTTTTTCCCAGGGATGGGGAATTCAAAACTAGAAGGCACAGGTTTAAGGTGAGAGGGGATAGATTTAAGAAGGACCTGAGGGGCAACTTCTTCACACAGAGAATGGTGTGTATATGGAATAGGCTGCCGGAGAAAGTGGTTGAGGCAGGTACAATAGCAACATTTAAAAAACATTTGGATAGATACTTGGTTCAGAAGGGTTTAGAGGGATATGGACCAAACGAAGGCAGTTGGAACTAGCTGAGTGGGTACCATGGTAAGCATGGACCAGTTTGGGCCAAAGGCTGTTTCCATGCCATATCACTCAATAAATAATCTATGATGGCCTATTTTGTGACATTGCTCCAAGAAAACTTGACTTGCACACCATTACAAAAAACCATTTACTCTCCACTTACTCTGTTGGCTACCAATTCCCGCCTACAAGCACACAAAAGTGACTTGAGACAAGATCTTTTCACTATTTTTCCCTCTGAACTCAAAGGACATTCAGTCGACAAAGTCAGTGCTGGTGCTACGAAGTGAAGCCATCTATTCTGATCCCAATTACCTTGCCCTTTCATATAGGGTCATAGAGTCAAATATTTTTGAATTTTCTTCCTTCACAAACTATAATAGAGCTGCTGGCTCAAAACCATTTATGAAAAATTATTAGAACCTGGAATGCTTTATGTGGGGATTATACAAAGTTACCATCCTTTTCATTCTTCATGATACCTGAGCCAATTCTCCACCCATTTGTAAATGTCTCCAGTAAACAGCTGTTAATTCTGAAAATCTCTGTTCAATCATCTCTTTTCTGCTCTGGTGAAAAAAGATGCAATATTTTGAGATGTTCTTCACAAACCTTTCCATCCTATCATTCCTCACTACTGTGGCTGTATTTTTCTTATTCCACCCGTGTGTTTAAATTATGGCAGGTATTATAGACATGCAAATTATTTAAATTGAGAACCTAGGAACATTGGGACAGGTGATTCAGCCCCTCAAGTCTGTTTTTTTTTGTTAATTAACAGTATTGACATCAACTCCAGAGTACTCTGGCTCTAATTTTATGATTAAACTCCCTGGTCTAACTCCTCTTCTCTTCCTCACAGAGAAAAATGCTCTCTCTATCAAATCTTTGAACTTCTTTCATCATCTTAAATGTCTTAATTATATCACCCCTCAATGTTTAATATATAAGGGAATACAAGGGTAATATTGCAAATTTTCTTCATTTTCATTATGGGCTTAAGTTTTGGTGTGAAGGAAGCACATGACAATCACTAACAAAGTGCTGTCACAGGCAACATCTACTTTTTTCTAGTGGCAAAGTTAGCTGTGTGGGGGGGAAGAAAAAAACTGGAAAGCAACTAGCATTCCGTAGGAGGATAGGAAGAGTAGGACATTCAGATCCTCCAGGCCGTTCTACCAAGGTTGGTCATCTACCTCAACACCCTAGTCTGGTGCTAACTCCAGATCCCTTAATGTCATTATTAACAAGAATTCTATCAATCTCAGTCGTGAACTCAATGACTGGATTTCCATAGTTCTTTGGGGTCTGTAATTCCAAAGATTCACCACCATCTGAATGACGTTTCTCATTGTCTTAATTCTAAATGGCTGCCTTTTATTCTGAGGCTATAAGAGGGAAGAGTTATTGCAATAACGTTGTGGAAACAACTGCTGAAGTTAGATGCCCAAGACCAGATCATCTGCCCATGCCCTCAACTAGTAGCAAACAAATGCCATGGGAAATTCTAGAGGAAGGAAACAAAGATAAAAATGTCTTAAATGAACCAATAGTGAAAGCCCAAATTACTTCATAATAACTAACTGTAAACAGTTTATCTTGGAGCTATCTTTGCAAGCTTCCAGATTGGCAGTCTCTACTTTAACCATTGCACACATTAGATAGTACAGTTTGTAACTTCCTGAAGATGGAAAAAAATCAACTGAAAGGAAAAGATGACCATTCTAAATCCAACTCCAACAAAATATGGCTGCATGCCATATAACCCAGGAACAGTCATTGCTTTGATCCAGTGTGTATGGAGTGAACTGATCTCAGAGGAGTCTGGGATTACAAAAAAGCCTCAGTCTCTTTTTCTTTTCCAGCGGATAGAAAGGAAGAGGAA